ATTTTATAGCCAGAGAAATGCCTTCTATGATCTGCCTGTGGGTCGATTCTAAAAGCTGAAAACAACAAAGTATACCTCACCAAACTGTACCCTTTAAAGATGTGCAGTTTATTGAATGTACCTTATAACTCAGTAAGATTATTTTTAAAATGGGGATCCTGGACAGTAAGACTACCTACCTCCATGCTAAGTAACCCGAAGGAATAATCTTAAACAGGTGAAAAATTCATCTCAGAAAGTACAAGGAACCTTTCTTTCTTCTTATGTTTTTAGTTGACAAAATTGTATGTATTTATCACGTGCGACATGATGTTTTCAGATATGTATACTGTGGAATGGGAAACTGAGCTGGTTAATACACATATTACCTCACTCAGTTATCATTTTTGTGGTAAGAACCCTTAAAACCCACTCTCCACATTTTTCAACAATACAATATATTATTATTAAATACAGTCCCCATGTTGTTTTGACTTTATTCCCTTTGTGACTAAAATATTGCATCCTTTGACCAACAGCTCCCCAACCCCAGCCCCCAGGGATTCTCCGTGCAGCCGGCCCTGCGCAGCCTCCGGCTCGGCGCCCGAGGTTACAGAGGGCGGACTCTTCACGCAGACTGTGCTGTCTTACGTAAGGGATTTGAGCAACGTGGATTTAATTTGGGGAAGTTCTAAACAAGGCGTGACCAAGTAACCAGTCTAGTTAAGGAAAAAAGCTCACTAAGATCACTCAGACCCACCAGCTTTGAGGAACGTAACTTTCCGGTGTAAAATATACACCTGTGTAGTGAATGATGGGAGTACAGGCTGAAAAATGTAAAAGTCTGCAAAATTCACCGCTTGTTTTTGGTTTAGAACCTTTTGTTCTAGGAGTTCATGGGTCGCTCATGCATTCCTTTAAGCAGCATTTACTGAGAGCCTGCTACAGGAGGGATCAGTGCCAGGACGGCAGGTCAGGTAAACCGGAAAGACGAGGTCCTGACGCCAGCCCACATTCTGATGGGGGCAGGGAGGGTGGGAGGTGAAAGCCCCATCAGCAAATAACTTAAAATAGTTAAAATAGATAGGAAAGAGAGCTAAAAGGAGAAACAAGAACAAGGGTGATTACAATCACAGCCATGGGTTACACAGCTCTTGGGAGGGGCCAGGCGTTTCTCTTCAGTGTCACTGGAACTCACTCACCCTGTGCAGAAGTTCGTGGAGACCAGGCCCAAAGTCGCCCAGATAATTAGTGGTAGAGCCAAGACTTGAATGCTGGCGCCCTGTTCCCCACTACCACAGCACCGAGTGTCTGCAGTAAAGCAAGTGGCATTGCCACAGATAAGGTAAGAGGGAAAGTCTGCCAGGAGTGACATCTGAGGTGACACTGAAGAACCGAGAAAGGCAGCCTTACTTTCTGGCAGTCACTAAGGAGTGGGAACAGCTGTCTGTGAGGCCACTCCGAGTGCTTCATGCTATCTGCACATCATATTATCTACGGCAGAGGAGCAAGTTGCTAAATGACTTTTCTGTTGCTGGAAAAATTGAGCGAGTGACATTTCAAATAAATGACTAAGAATCAAAATAAAATGAGAAACTTAATGAAAATTTATAGTTCACCATAAGCCTATAATATACAATTCTGTCTGAAAAACATCCAAAATCCCATATTTAGCACTTACTTCATTCAGACTTTTTGCTTGCTAAGAATCATGTCATCCTTGTCCAAATGACTGTTTAACTTGCATGAGTCAGCTCCAAATTAATGGGGTTAAAATCTTCCATTGTATTTTATAAAAAAAAAACTGGTATTCTTGAACAAAGAAAGAAGCAGGCTACTAATTTCTTTTTTTAACTGCATTCAGTCCTTCACAAAAACACCCTTTTATACATATCCTGACATGGTGTCTTCAAGAATTCCCTCGGGTTTCCCCACAAAACTCTTAACCTTTACTACTTTCCAGTTTATTTGAGTGAAGGAAGAGCCTGTCTCCTCTGAGGCTTGACCAGAGAAGGGTCTGACGAGAGTGCCTCCAGAGAAGGGTGCATGTGATGACAGCAAGATAGCCCGTATCTTATGAGCTAGACCAGGACTCCAAGGGACAGAATTGAGGGCTGTTTATATAGCCGTTCTCTCTCCTATTCACTTCCCTTACCAGATTCTCATCCACGCAGGCCTTAAAGAATTCTGTGTTTTACTTTGATAAGCAAAGTGTTTTGTTTTGATAAGAGATGTGTTTGCAAGTCAACATATCACCATCACTGCTTTATCGCCTTACTCCAATGCGTGCAGAGACTGTAGGCCATAGTTGTCCGACGTCCAGGGAGGACAGGTAACTGAAGACAGGGGGATGGGCAAACCATCCCAGCAGCACTTCTCACCACCCCAGTCCTCTCTGGACCCACTTCCAGTGCTTAGCTCCTTTCAATTTACCTTACGCGCCTAACTTCACAGCTCCGTGTTTGAACCTCTGACCCAGAGATTCCAATCCAGGTCCACAATCCTACCCCCAGGCCCATCCTGTTTAGAGTTCCTGCCGCAATCACATTCCCTGGGCATTTCCATTGCCAAAGCAACCAGCAGGCGTGAAGGAGGAGCTCCAGTTTTCCTCACTATACACGGTGGTGGAGCTCTTTTATTTGATCACGACTATACTCTACTACACTCTGGCCTTCTCTGGGTTACGGCCTCACCTGAGTTCCACACCACTATGCATAAGACATGGTGGTGCCAGACCCTTTGAGACATACCATCTCATTCAGTCTTCTCAGAACTTCTGGCAGATAACAGTTTCTGGCAGCACAGTGGGAAAAAAAATGCAAAAGCACTTAACACTGATGGAGATTTCAATGTTTTTGACAAGATATAAGAAAGTTATTTACAAATGAATTTTTGTGACACAGGCTGTCTTTATATTGGAGACTGTCTGGGCCCTAACACGGGCCAAATATGAATCAATTTACAGAACAAGAGAAAGACCATTATGCAGGAAAAAGCCTCAGTTTTTGATTCCCACAGTTTGGTTTACCACATCTGAGACTGCCCTGTAAGACAGTTTACATTATTGAAATAGTTGAATTTTTGATAGGTCACGATTGAAATCTGCCTCTGCTTTATCCTCAAGGGCTAACCTAGGTGTCAGGAATGCCCAGATACTCTGCTCCCTCCCAGGAACTTCCCTCTGCTGGCCTGATGTCAAAGAAGTGTTCACAGGCTCCCAGAGAGAGTTTGTTTATCTTATCTCAAGTGGTAACAACAGAAAAAATATTCTTAACTCTCAGGCAATCTTTCCTAGACATTATATAGGTAATTCTGGTGTAAATCAGGAAAATGCTCATTTAACGCTTGAAAGAAAAGAGGCAGAAGAATAAAAAGAGTTTCCACTTGGGCAGAAGTTAATCTTTTCAACTTAAGTCAGAGTAAATAATCTTAATGACTCAAGTGACTCTGGCCTTGGCATGGGTGGGTCTTCTACGCCTCTCTGTGCAATGCTACACCAGCCCAATAACAGAAACACGGCAACCCTGTGCACGCATCCAGGCCAAGTACCAGCATGCAGTACTGATAACACCTAACAAGTAATGACAGGCTTTCATTACTAATCTCGTGCTTACCCATGCTCTTCCAAGTAACCATTCAAATACTTGGAAATTCTTGTAGTTTTCCGTGACCCACAATTGGAATACATACATGATGTACAGGAAGGATTGCTGGAGAGTTAAGGATTTTTTTTTCTGTTGTTTATTTTCAAAGGAGGAAAAAATTATTTCAATAAACAGGAACATCTGAAGGATGTGGATAAAATTCAAGACTCATACATGGTTTGAATTACTTTCCCATGGATATACGGTAGTCAAAACTGATTTTTTATGAAAACTTTGGCAATCTCACCGTGTACAGAGGAAATTGAGTGCTGGCTACAATGACACAATTTGTCATTTCAGTTTTCAGAATCATGCCAAAACAAATGCCTCAGATAAAAAGATGGCAAAATAATGATGGTAGTTTTTCATTTTTGCATGCTTAAGATACATGCTTTGATAGTTTAAACAACAGAATTACTTTTAATTCCCCAAACAATCTGCACTCTCTCTTACTTCTGGCTTTTGCACATGCTGGTCTCCCTTGTCTGGATGTTCCTCCTGCTATGAAATGCACCTTTTCCATTCGTCTTGGTAGCCCCTATTTATCCAGCACACAGACAGACATGCACTACAACCTCACCTCTTCCCAGAAGCTGCCTGTGACCTCAGGTAACCTTGTATCATTGTTTGGGCTGTGCTTCCTTCTTTGAAAATGGTTCAATTTTGTTTTCAGTAAGAAACTCTTAAAGGACATTTAGTTTATGATACACGATGTAACAAAGGTCTACTGTAAATTGTAACTCTTTAGTTCATTTTTAATTAGTGTTATTTTTAAAAATAATGTAACGATGTTACTTTATACATATTCTCTAAAAAGACTCCCCTGTGTCAGGATTGGCCAGGAGCTTTCTGAATAAAGCTGATTATAAAGAGAGGAGGGGCTAAGTAGTTGCTGGGATGGGATGGAAGGGGATTCGCTCACTCATTTATTAAATGTTTAGTGATGGCTATTCTGCGAATCACTATTCTGGCTCTGATGGGGGGTAGACAGCAAAAGAAATAAGTAAACAAATAAACAAATATACTAATCTCCCATCCTACTTTGGAACTTTATTGACTTTCTGCTCCCAAAGCTGGCAAACAGAACAGAACGCCTGGGCGCAGGGTGGGTGACTGGCAGTAGGCACACAGTAACACTTAACAAGACACAGGAATGCTTTTAGCAGGGAGAGGAAGTAAAGCGTTTCAAACATTTCATAATCTTCAATAATTGTAGGATAAGATGGAGGAGTTCTTTCTAATCCCTCCAATGATCCGGAACAGGGCACTCCTGGTACTTTGTGTTGTAAAGGACTTCTTAATACTCAGATTGCATAATTAAGATTTATTTACTAAGCTGAAGACCAACATGATTCAAGTTTCTACAGACTTACTCACCTCAACGTATGAAATTGGAAATATTCCTATTTTGTCTGCCAGCATTCCTTCGGCCCAGTTTTCATCCACCCTGCGGATCACAGTCAGAACATCATCCTGGAGAAACAGCACATCATTAGTCCACCTGATCCCACCACGCTTGTCATTTAATTTTTCTTTTTAATAAAGAGACTCAAGTTTTAGGAGTATATGAATAAAAATTTGATGACATATCTTTAGTACATGAATTCTAAGTTTTCATGAACTAAATGGTAACAGTCAACCTGGTGTCCGTTCAGACAGCGGCAACGCTATGAACTCCTTCCACGTGTCTGGCTGCTTATTTTGGTAGTGTACACACATAATCTATATAGATCTCCATGATGCCCAGATCTACAAACTGCAATCTCAAACGCCACCCAGCCCCGCCTCTTGCATTTCTGTTTTAGATCGATTCTCAGATGCTTCTTACTTTCTCTCTGATAATACACCAAATGCCCATTAAAATGCATATCCTACTGCTGTTCTTTACAAAAAACACAATATTCTTCTTAAAATTCCAAACCACTTTATCAATTCAGTAGATATACTCCTGTGTGCTTTAAATCAAAGGAATTTACATTTATAAAATAAGGAAGTAATGATGTTTCATTTTGTTATCCATAATTCAGTTCTTTAAAATCCCTGAATGGCACACACGCCCTTAAAAGTAGCTTAGAAATAAATGTAGGTTCTAAATATGAAAATGATACCACATACAGCATCGACCAAAACTCTCTCTCATATAAGAAGTCTGTGCACAAAATTGCATTTCTTGTGACGTAAGGACTGCTTCTAGGTATTTTTAGTAGCACAGTGAGACAGTTCACACAAAACCATTGTATCTTTTTGCAAAAGCAAAACACAAGCTGTATTCCCATGTGCCCAGGTACAGAGGAAGAGCTGGTAAACTGAGGCAATCGCATTCCAACCTCACCTTTGCAAAGGGAAGGCAATCCTTGTCTGCTTCCTTGTCTTTCACTTCAAAATCATAAAGTGCTTTGCACTGAGGTGGGGGCTGAGGTAATGGTTTAATAATCTGCACAAAGTTGGTGGGGAAAAAGCCATGGATCCCGTTGACTTCCCCGTGGTACCAATTTTCATCCACTTGTCGTCGCAAAATGATGATGTCCCCTTTGCTGAATTTAAGGTCTCCAGGCTCTTTTCCTTCGTAGTTGTATAATGCTTTGGCACATGGTAACTGAGGTATACCCTTAAAGAAAGAGATGAATTTTAATGAAGGAATGGTCCGAAAATGTCTCTGAAAATATAACTGTATTATCCTTGTGTTTAAGTGAAATCTACACTTTGCCCCTTAAAGAAAATCTCACATAAAAACTACATATGTGCACTATCAATTACCAAATATAAAACAAATGGCCACAGTGAGATAAAAACAGTAGGATATCCATGCACCAGCCAGGATGTAGCCTCTATTCCTAAGTGTGACCTGGTGCGGGCTTTTGGCCTTGCTTGTTCGAGGCTGTTAGTAGTGTACATGAAAGTATGACTGCTGAGTCTGCCTCCCTGGTATGAAACCCAAGAACTCACAGAAAACAAACTTAATATCCTACACATCAACTACTTTGTTCATGAGGATAAATTAATAAACGCTAAAGAGAAAAATGTAAACAGAAGCACATTTCATTGATTTACTACCTGCACTTAAGTTTGACTGATAAAAATCGGAGTTTGACCTTTAGACAAACCTTTTCCTGATACTGTTTTTAATGTGGGCAGTAGATCATATTCTCTCATGAACTCAACAATATTTAATGAGGGTCTGCTCTGTGCAAGAGGCTGGAATACGGCAGCGAGCGAGACGTCATGGTCCCTGCCCTCTCAGAGTTCATAATCTGTAAGTGTACAGACAAACGGTCTTTTACCGTCTAAGGTCATTTAACTTTGCACTTTCCTGATTAGAGAGCACTCTTAGGCTGGTAAGCTAAGAGATGAGGTATTTAATGTCACTACATGGCACTGTTGTTTTAAATGACAAGTTTAAAATTTTGGGTACACCTCTAAGGCAATTTAATCATCCAGCGGGTTAAATATGATACTTCCCGATTATATTAGGGGTGTCCATTCTTGGGCAATAGTCGTCACTTTAATATCTCTGGACTCTCTGGGCAACGCTGCTTTCACTGATTCAGAGAACAAATGGCAACTCAAACATGCCTTCAATAATCCACTGAAGGAGATTACAGAATACCTGCTTTTTGTGTCCTTATTCACTTATTCATTATCCAGAAAACATTCATTGAGCTTTTACTTCTTACCAGGCCTTATGCTAGTGCTGAGGATTTAAAGGAGGAATAAGGCACACATGTTCCTTAAGGCATAAGACCTTAGAAGTAATTATAATACAGTGTACTAAACGCAATGATAGAGATACGTGCACTGTTTACAGGGAGCAAAGAACATAGGTCTCTGGGGTTTGGTGAGTGGGGAAACAAAAGACTTCCTTGGAGGAGGTGACATGAGCTAAGTCTTAAAGGATGCACAGGAGTTAGCCAGGCAAATCTGGAGAGGAAGAATAAAAATTGAGGGCATTCCATGCAGAGGGGACAGCGCCAGGGTGAGAGGTTGCGTGTTGTGCAGAGGGACTGAGAATGTAAAGACTGTGGCGGTCCTGCACGGGAATGAGGGAACACAAAGAATAAGAGAGAGACAGAGGCCAGTTTATGGAGGGTCTTGAAATGACATGCCAAAGAGTTTAAGTTGCTGTGTCCTTCAGGAAAGGCCAATACACTCATGGGTCTGAAGCACAAATGGGCGTGGCAAGACCAGCATGTGTGGAAAACGGATGTGAAGGGGGCAGGCAGGCAGCTGTGTGCTGGGCATAGGCCTAAACTAGTTGAATTTTTATTTTTCACAAGTTTAATCTTTCCAATAGAGCAACAGTTAGCATGACTCATATCACTCCCCCTGCCAAAAAAAAAGTGGATCATAGTTTTATACCCTTGATGGCAACAGAACTTCATAATACAGTACTCAACAATAATTAGTTTGGACTCCAGTTGGAGATTTAGAGTCTGGCCTACCTATAAACCAAACTTTTTTGGTAAATATTTTTGCTTAAGAATAGTAATTCTTGCTCTCAAAATGCTCCCGGTAGTCATCGTGCTTTGGCTTGGTCCACGTGATACAGCTGGTTAATTAGAGCTGCTCTGAGAGGCCAATGGCCTGGGAAGACGGGAGTTGAGCCTTCCAGAAGGACTGACAACCTCACGCGCTCTCCAACTTTTGGACCCTGTCTTAAGATCTGGCCTCTAATGGCATGATTCCTGTTATTTCTGTCGTGACCTAATCTCTCGAGCAATTCTGCTGCGCCCTTTGTGCCCAGAAGGGAAATTCCCACCAGGAACTCTGGTCCTTTGCAGTCCTGTGGACTCTGCTCATAGCACATCCAGTGTCCAACCACGTGGAAGGAAGGATTCTAATCTTTCTCTGCCCTCACACACGCCCCACTACCATTCTCTACTAAACTGTGTATTTCTTGAAGCCTGCTTATCACAGCTTAACAATATTTCCCAAGATCGGTTTGAGGAAATAATGGTAACAGCAAATAAAACAGCAGCAAACATCACTATGACAAAGTACTGGCAAGCACTGCACCAAACTCAACTCCGTAACATAGCCGATGAGACTGTACCAGGTAGCATAGGGAGCTGGTTGGAAGCACAGACTCCACAGCCAGCCTGCCAGCGACCGCTGTGCGATCTTGGGCAGGTTAATCTCCCTGTACCTCTTTCTTCATTCGGGTGGCTGGGAGAGTTTAGGGAATTCATGTATGTAAACTACACCTCGAATGGCCTGGCAGGCAGTAAGTGCTGCCTGTGTGAGCCACCATCATCATCATCCTCACTGCCCGGTACAAAAGCCGGCTCACCAGTGAAATGAGGCACCTGACAAAGCATTTGTCTCCGTGCAGCTGGATGCTTTTCCTTGTGGGTGAATTCACATAGCAATTACATTTTTAATACATATTCACTGTATAACAATGCAAAGAATGTTCCCTCCTAGGAAGTGTTCAGGATTTTGAAATGTGCATTTCTGAAGCACACATTTGTTTTCTGAGTAGAATCCATTCATCTTCTGGTTGAACAGAAGAAATTACAAATTCACTGACACGCACCGTTTAATAGGGGATGGCATTTTAGATGTGGCTGTAGTTCATCTTGACAGGGCTAATGTAAGGCATTGGAAGCCTGCATGAATTAATTGAAAATCCTATTACAAACCCGGTGACAAATAACTCTATTCACCATTATGGCCTGTTTTTCCCCCACCTCAATTAGCTCTGTTTGGCCTACTCTGCCCAACTCTATGCCAGCCAAATCCATGCACCAAGACACAGATTCAGCACTCTTAGAAACCATTCTGAACTGCTCCTTGAAGAGATCTGTAAAATTCCAAACGGTTCACAATATGGTGCTTTTGTGATACGCTGACGTGGGAACTGAAGGAATTTATTTCTTTACAGATCACTTCCACACACCAGTGGCCTAATGGACTTATTAACTTTTCCACAAAGCAAATCTGCATGTTCCCAAAATCATCAAGTATTCTGATAGAACGAGTGGCAAGGAGAATGCTTATTATGATAACAGCAATATACATTATGGTTGGCTCAGGGCGACACTCCCGTGATGCAACTGCAAACCCATTAATTCACACAGACTTGCTAAATCTTGACTGCTAAGGTTATTTCCATGATCAACAGCCACAGAGAAACAACCGTAAAGCTTATGACAACCTAACCCATGAGCAGACATTTGTGCATCTGATTGTGTTTTTCTATGTTCTTTTCCAATTAAATTCTAAGAGGCTAGAAAGCCAGTTTGTGTCAAGTTTCCCAAAAGAAGCTTTCCCACATTAAATAAAATGAATTCTACTCTGATTCCAAATCAAAGTTGCTGCAAAGTTCAGCAACCTTTGAAAAGACTTATTCCCACACAGACTGCAGATGATTACGGATGAACAGTAAAACGACTTAGAAGGGCACTAAAAGAACACATTTTCCTTTTGCAACATCTGAAGGATAAGCCAAAACGATGGTTTGGAGCCCAGGCCTACTCTAGCGGTAAAGCCCGCCCAGGGCCCACGGAAGCACTGCCTTCTCATCCATCTCTTCAGAAAGGCCCCAGGGCCGTGTCATCGGCGGGCCCTCTGCCCTCCACACGCCCTGGGCAGGCTTTCCAAACTGCTCCTTTCTTCTGCACCCTCCTCTCACCAGGCCAAGGCCCCGAGGATCTGCAGGGCTTACATTTCACTTGGAGACTTTCACTTGGCTACACATGAAAGGGAGGCTTAAAAGCAGAGAAAGCCAGAGAGAAGCCAACTCTACAGTCTAACCTTGGGTTTGTGGTTGTCACTCATGCTGCCAGCTTCGTCAAAAAACTCGGCAGTTTGGACAGGCCAAGTCTTATGACAATTTTGCATCTAAAATGCACTCCAAGAAACAGCGACTATTTTGCTTGTGTAAAAATTAGTACGACAGCAGATCAGTTTTACATTTCAAATAACTTTTGTTTCTAAATCACATATCCAGGTTGTCTTGTAAGACATTAAAATCCTCCTGTGATCTGCATACAAATATTTTTTATTAAATGCTTTATACCTCCATTTCTGTACTGTCAAGTGTATTCCAATATATTGGGCAAAATGCTACTTGATGATCTAGCTGAGATTCTAACAGGTAAATAAAACATTCACTGCCAATTTATTTTATAGACTCTAAATGCCAATGCCCAGATATACATGCAAGACAGCCTCTCTCAATTCAAATTCCTTCATGCATTTCTTACTGCTCCATAAAGTAAAAAAGATTCAATGACCTACTAAAAAGAAAATCTATATAGAAGATACTCTGACAGTGGGAACAGCCATAAAATGTGTATAATTTAATAATTCAGTTATATCTAAATTGGCACAAACTCTGGCTGATTCCAACTTGACTTTCAGAAACTTTCCAGAAATTCTGGACTGAGGCACAAAGAAATCACAGTAATAGAAAGTTCCACACAGAGTAACAGTAGCAAAATGGGTTGAGGAGAGAATTTTTTTTAATATCCTTTGTACAACAAAATACACATTGGCATTCCCCTACAAAGTAAAATATCTATCAAGATACCCTAACAGAATTTCATGAAAATGCTGATTCTTTAACAGTTAAGTCTTAAGTACTGTTCTCAAGATGTCTGGGTCAGA